TGGCGGGGGTAGGGAGCGTGGTTGGGTGCCTCTGGCTTCCTCCTTTTTCTGCCCTTCCTCCTTTTTTTCCTTCTGCTGTTGCGGAGGGCGTCCTGGGTGTGGTTTCCTTCCCTAGCCAGGCTGTGGCCTGGGAAAAAAGGAGGCACAGTAACCCTCTGCCTCCCCCCACCAACCCGGGACTGAGAAGACGGGGGAGCCTGTCTGGGCTCGGGAGCAAAACCCCCACCAGTACCGGTTTCTTATCGAGAAACCTCTGATAGCTGCTCACCCTGTGCCCCGCCCCGCAGTTAAAGGGAAGAGACCAGTATGGTTGAAAATTCGCCGGCCCCATTGCCAGAAAGGGCAATATATGGATTTGCCCTTTTTTTAGGATCATGGTTTGGCTTCAGTAAGTATACTGGGGACTGAATACTCTACCAAATACCGATACAAATACTTCACTGAAAAGTGTTGTTTTGCTTACGAGGTCATTCTGATAAGATCATCTGAAAAGGGTCAAAATGTTACCGTGGCACCTGATGTAAGGGTGCGTTAAGGAAGAACTAAGCCAGTATTGGTTGCCAGGCCTGTCAGTTGTTATGAAGATCTGTCATTGCCTTCTGTGACCTCCTCGTGTTTTGTCTGTCTGTAACCTTATCATGGGGTCTTTAATAGTATTATGTAGTCAAATTATTTTAAAAATTCTCTACATTCTCATTATAGTAACTTTTTTACTTGAATTGCGTATGTCGTCACTATTCAGCAACCATTGCGGATAGTAGTAGTGCAACCTTGCCCACCCAAATACTGAAGAAAAAAAAAGTCACTCTGGTTGACAGCAATGGGAAATTATTAGGAAATTATACCCACGTTTCTTTGCTGGTGTGACTGATGCTTTAGCGTTTCACTGGGGATATCTTGAGTGCCTACACAGGACCAAGGCTTGAGAGGGTGAGAACACTTTTTCAACACAAAGGTGCTGCAAATATGAATGATAAAACAGGGTCCTACTGTAAGTCTTTCTCACCTTTAGGAAGTAAGTGGAAATGAAAGTAAGTCGGTTTCTGTGCCTCTCACAGGAAGCCACTGCAGTTCCATGTCTTGCATCACTGTTTGGCTGCTAACAAGTTCTCCTCAAGTTTTGTTAAAACTTTCTCTGGGTTTGTTTTTAGTGAGCAAAATTTGTGAGTGTTGGTTTTGTTGACATGAAGATTACTAACTTGCAAAGAATCAGAAAGTATTTCCAGTAACTTTCAGAACAGTTCCATCCAAGCACTGCAATTGTAACAACTTTTGTTTCAACAAAATGACCCAATGTGTGATCATTTTCTGGTTTAATATTTTCTGCGTTCATTGTGATTTAGTATCCTTTTACTGAGGGGTGTTTTTTGTTCTGCAATTCAAAGTGTAAGAAGTTCTTGTCTGTCTACATAGAAACTCAGAAACTAAACATTAAGGCAAGTATAAAAATGCTGTCATATACCAGCTACAAAACATTGCCCCCACATGGGATATGTTTTGTGTCTGAGAGGCATATTCTGCAATTTCAGGTAAGCGAAATATTGTCTCAGCAGGTATCAATAGGGAAGTATTACTCTAAAACTTAGGAAGGAAGACTAACATAGTATGAGTTTTACTATTATGACTTTTTAATTCTTTTGTGCAGTATTGTATCTTATCTGGGCATATGTTCCTGAGACTTGGCTGTTCTCATTGGGACTAACATACTGGCCTCAAAAGTAAGTTCAACCAATTAAACTTTTTAGCCTGAATATGTGTAAGTATAGGACACAATTATTGTCAAATAACAAAACTTTTACAAATAGTGACCTTGTATTTAATCCAGTTTTTCCTGATGATAACACTGTAATCTTTGTGAAGCATTTTACGTAGATAAGTAACTATGATGAAAGTTTTTAATTGTGTGAGGAAAGGAATAGTATTTGAATGTTTTATGATAAATTTGACATTTTGTTTTCAGGAAGTTTGCAGATTAAAACACAGTAAACTTTAAACTGTACTTAAAAAAAGAAAAACCCTCTATAGGGAATCTATGTGGTGGTTTTTACCAAACTAGCTGCAGTGACTGCAGTAAGCAATCTTGGGAGAGACTATTCAGAGGTGTTGTTTCTTTTCCTATTGGCTGAGTTTGCGCTAGATACAGTAACGACCACTGCATTAGGACTATTATGTTGTAAGGTGTTTCTTATTATGTTATGTAAACTTTAAAATCTTTTTCCTCAGGTACTGGGCAGTTGCTTTGCCAGCATACCTATTAGTTGCCATAGGAATTGGTTATATATTACTTTTTGGTATTAACATGATGAGTACAGCTCCACTTAACTCTACACATACAATTACAGGTAATATTATTGGTGGCTTTTTAAAGATTTTGATACTTAACTGATAATTTCTGTAAATATATATATGTAGCTATATGTAATATAAATACAGTTTTAAGCTTTTAAATATTTTGATCTAGAAAAGATGTTTTGGAAGTACTGAAGTAATAGAGTGAAAAGATAGCCACAAGCCTGACTCTTCCCTCTTTGCCATCCTATGGCAGTGGTTTCCAACTAGTAAAGTGTACGTTGTTAGTAAAACAGATCGTATTAGAGGAACAGGTCTCAGGCATATAATACTCTCCCAACCCTATACCTTGCATTACAGATGAGTGAAGAGTGTCATGGAAAGAGGGGCGTGAACAGCAGTGACAGAAGTGGGAAGCTGTGCAGGAGTCAAGGTGGTACAAAGGAGGGTGCTGCAATATTGATGCCTGGTCAGATATGTTAGCGATCCCCTGTCTAAAAACAGCTGTTCTTCATTTCTTCTCTCAATTTTTGCATAGCCTTTATTCCTGCCAAGGACACCTGTTCTAGGCATTCACAAAGTTCTCCAGGCAGCTGCATCTTCCTCCAGATGGCCTTCTATTTACAGGTGGCCGTTTTTGTTAGAAAAAGTGTAGTCTGTAAAATCTGGCAAGGAAGTTGCCTACTGCTAGAACTCCTGAAGTTGCATCATTTGAAGAAAATACATATGTAGTACTATGTTCCACTGAGCTGCAAAGCAAAAAAAAAAAAAAAAGGGGTGAGGCTGTAGCTCAGATGTGTTACTCCAATGCTTCTGTCAAGAGCTGCCATTTAGATATTCCTGTGTTCCTGGCCGCTCATTCACACTCCTATGTCACCCTCTCATTTGGTGTCAACCCAAGAGTTTGTTTGGCTGTATGGCATGTGGATGTGAGATGTCCTCTTTTTGAAAAACAACTATATTTGAAAAATTTCTTTTTCAGAGTGAACGGTTCCATAGTTGTGTTCAAAGTGCACCCAGAAAAATGGTTATGCTGTTGCAGGAATGGGTGCTGTGTGGTGATGGCAACAAGCAGCCGAGATAAAAGGAGGGTAGACAGCATCTCTCGGCAAAAATCCTAGTACAAAGTGTTCAGAATACAGACTGAGCTATTCACTGTGGGAGTTTGTTTGTTTGTTTGTTCTTTTTCTCTTTGGGTAATCATGGTTTAAGGCTACACAGCATCTTAAACCAAGCAAAATCCCAGATAGTGACTTCAACAGGAGAGTAGGGTTGATTTCTTCAGGGGCTCTGCTAATACATGTTGTTGTAAAGTGTTTCTGATGACCATCTTGTTATACCTCAGCAAGATGGGGTTTTCAGCATCACTTAGAGTGGCTAAATTTAGACTAAATTTACTTTTAGACTAAATTAAAGACTAAATTTTAGACTAAATTTAAATTTAGACTAATTTTAATTTAGCTAAATTTAGTGTTGCATTAGATAACATTTCTTGAAAGAAAAAAATCTTTAACGTGTGGGATGTTCTCTCTGTCTCCGGCAGATAACTATGCAAAAAAGCAGCAACAGAAGAAATTTCAAGAAGAAGCAATTCCAGCATTGAGAGATATTCCCATCAGTGAAGTAAACAGAATGTTTTTCCTTCCTGAGAAAGGAATCTGCAATAGCAGATAGTAGTTATTAGGGTCTGTTTGTATAAAGGATTAGTAGAACTGTTACATAAGGAAAACCAAAACCTCTCCAAACTGAAGAAAAAAAAAAACAAACCACCTCTTTCTGCTTGCAAAACTAAGCTTTTTAAAAAAAAATTGACACTGAAATGGGTTGATGTATTATTATTATTACATTATGCATGTGCCTCCCTACATTAGTATGAGAATTATGCTACATTAATTTATTTAACCGTTCTTGTGAGTTAAAATAGCATTCTATTACTTACTTTTTACAAGTTCAGTAAGTGTTTACATTGTAAATATACCATTTTCATTTGTAAATAGTAATAAAATGTGGCTAATTTATACTTGTTTAAAGTTAGCCATATTTTGTGGTTCTATATTTGTCCTGGATAAAGGTGTATAGTGGTCTGGGTTTATGGTTGTTTTGGGGTTTTTTTTAATGAAGTTCTTTACTCAGCAAAATCTGTTGGGTTTTTTTTCCCCAAAAATGATTGATGGGCTTATTAAAATACCACAATTACCAGAAATAAGGTGGGTTATGAAAATTTAATGAAACAAGTCTTGAAATGACTCTTTTTTAACCATTCTTAAAAATACAGAGAAATAGGTTCAAGGAAATTTCGGGAAATAGAGAAACCCACAAATCCATCTTCTTATAGAGAAGGTTAGAGCACAGAGCACAGTATCTTGTTATGGCAATGGTTCAAATGTTTCTTATACAACAAATTTTCTTTCATGTATGTGTTACTGAGCAGAGAGAAAAAATTTATTTCCTTTTATTTCCACGAGTCACAAACCCAGCTATTACGGGTTTTAATCCATTTTTCTTCAGTGGTCAAGGTTATTTACTTCAGTTATGAAGACCAGTGAATAGAGCCTCACTATTGTTTGTTATTTCATTAAAAGATAACAAGGGGTTTTTTTAATATTTGTGTGAATAATCTTATGCTCGTTCTTTAGAAAACAGTCAAAACAACCATCGGTTGCTGTGGGAAGTTTTAAGACCTGGTAATAATAAATCTGGTATGAATACAAAATTTGTAGGGTTTTGGTCCTCTAGTCTGTAGTAGTTTGATATTTTTTCCACCTGCATTTGGAGAATAAAAAATAAGCTAGGGATTACGGGTCGGAGAAAAATGCCTTCTTAATGAAGGAAAAAATGCTTTTCAATGTTTCACTCTGCAATAGTAGATTTTAGGTATATTGTGGTTTGGGAGCACTTCTAAGAATGAGTATTTGTACCTGAGCCTAACAACTGTAACTTAGTACAGTGTTTATTTGATAGTTGTAGACTTCAAAAGACTTGAAAAGTTGGTATGTTTATTGTTTTTTTTTTTTTTTTAGCTTGCCCCCAGTTTCTATTATTTCTCTCTCCTACCGCAACTTTGCCATTCTATTAATTTTAATTTACATGTTCAAACACCCATAAATAGGGTGAATTCAAGATCTTATGATCAACAGACATGAAGATATATTTACTTTTTTGACAATTCTCTAATCACATTGTAGACACTGAAGTATTGACTGTAATCTTTTTTTTCTGTGTAATTTCTGCTTGTGTTTCATGTTCTTTTTGCCTTCTAAAAAAGCAATTTCGTTTTTAATTCTAAATTGACGACAAGTGAAGGCCACGTTTCTGGTATCATTTGATGTAAGGATTAATTTAGTCCCCTGTTAAGGATGCCCAAATCCCTTCAGGATAAAGAAAAGCTACTGGAAAATGCCCTCAAGCCCTGAAAGCACACAAATTAAGGGACTGTAAACCTTGGACAAAGATTGTATCAGTGATGAATCTGCCATTTCATTTAACTGTGGACCTCACAATTATGGGAAAACTAACACAGACAGCTAAGCGAGGAGGCAAACTGAGGCCATTTGTTTAAGTAAAACTTGCAGGCATGAAACTCAGTCTTTGCTTTTCTGTCACTCCTGAGTAGCGGTGCTTCAAAGACACTGCGGTGACCTTTTCTTCAACTTGGGAGTAATGTTTGATGCTTCAGAAATTGCCTCTGTCAAAATAAAACCAGGTAACACAGTGTGTATGGACTAATAAATATATTGTAGAGAACTGCAGGTGTTTGGGATCCATCATTTCATGGTCTTGCCTATGACTGCAGTTAAGGAAAACATATGCAACTCTGCCAGCAAAGAGAAGAGAGACTGTGCTGTTTGTAAATACACAGCACACTTGTAGCTGTAGTTGTTTAGTGGGATTGATATAGATTTTGCCTTAGATATTACTCAGGAAAAAATCTGAAATGATTTAAATGTGTTGGTAGTAGTGTCTTTCTTTACAAAACACACCTGTTCAAAGATTGGATATCAGGTATCCATCCATTCTTCTCAGAAACTGAGGAAAAAATACATAAATAAAGGACAAAAAAAATTTGCCCTCATTTTCACCCTTCTGACTTACTGATGGTGTATTGTTACAGCACAACCAGTAGTAACCAGTGCAGTTAGACCAGCTGCATTGTTCCTGAAAAAACCAAATGATAAAACTTTGGCTATGCTTTTTAATGCACCTTGTAGGATTCTTCTGCAGTTTTTATTGTACTGGAGATTGATGGCATTTTATACATCTTGCTATAAACTTAATTTCATAAGACAGGTTCCCCCCAAATGGTATTTGAATGAATGTGTGTGCGTAAACGTCATTAAAAACTAACAAAGTTGCACTGTTTCAAAGGAATAGGTAGCATGCCAAATTAAATAATAGCACCAGGGTTGCCAAATTTGTGTAAAGGTGGTAGAGCATGTCTCTCTTCTTTCCATCTTAGCTGTAAAGGAAAGCATAGCAACAGCATAGATTATGTTCAAGTTATGTATTGAAAGAAAAGCCTTGGGAATAGAGAATTGTGCTCATTTTGGCTGGGGTAGGGTTAATTCATGGTAGCTAGTACAGGGCAATGTTTTGGATTTGTGCTGGAAACAGCACTGATAACACAGGGATGTTTTTGTTATTGCTGAGCAGTGCTTACACAGAGTCAAGGCCTTTTCTGCTTCTCAGCCCAGCCCACCAGTGAGTTCAACTCAAGAAGCTGAGAGGGGACATATCTGGGACAGATGACCAAAGGGATATCCCATACCATATGACATCATGCTCAGCATATAAGGCTGGAGGAAGAAGAAGGAAAGGAGGGACGAGTGATGGTGTTTGTCATCTTGAGTAACTGTTATATATGCTGGAGACCTGCCTTCCTGGAGATGGCTGAACACCTGCGTGCTGCTGGGAAGTGGTGAAGGAATCCCTTGTTTTGCTTTGCTTGTGTGCAGCTTTTGCTTTACATGTTGAACTATCTTTGTCTCAACCCACAGGTTTTCTCACTTTTCTGATTCTCTGCCCCATTGCACAAGGGGGGAGTAAGCAAGTGGTTGTGTGGTTAAACCATGACAGTCCTTTTCAGTGCCCAAGCCCCCAAGTGGGGCTTGAAGCATTTGAGATAACAACAGGTTTGATTGGAATGTGCTAAATCTTATATAAATAAGATCTAGCAGCTGTTATTGCTGTTTAGCTATGAACTGTATATTAGAGTCTGGTGCTCCTTAGTGGTTGCTTTTTGCTTTTGCTGTGTGCTGTAGTGTTTTTCTGCTTATCACCTCACTCTGCTGTGCCTGGGCACATTTTGATAACAGCAGTGGTGATGTGCCTGGGCAGGCAGGTGGCCAGGGCATCGCTGCTGTTTCTGTGCTGCTGTATTGGACAGGCTGGAACTCCAGTGTCAACTCGAGTCGAAGGGACTGTGACCTGTGGACAAGTCCATGCAGGAGCAGAACACCTCAAAGCATCTGTAGCCATGGATAAGTCCATGCCAGAGCAGGTATACCTCAAAGCATCTGTGGCTGTAGTTATACCTGCGCTGCAGCAGGTACACCTCTGGAGGGATTGTGGCCCAAGGGTAAGCCCACACTGGAGAAGGCACACCTTGAAGCATCAGTGGCTGTGCATGAGGTTGTACTGGAGCACCTCAAAGTGTGTGGCCGTGGGCTTCCAAAACAGAGCAGGTATACTCCTGGAGGGACTACAGCCATTAAGAAGGCCATGGAGCAGATTTACTTCTGAAGGGACTGTGACTGTGGGTAAGACCACACTGGAGTAAGCGCATCTCTGAAGGCGTTGTGGTCCATGAATAAGGGGTTAAAAAGGGAAGTTATCTTGGTGCCCCTTCCCACCTCGGAGGCAGGAGGAGGGCAACTAAAGTTCTGCAAATCCCCTTGGGCTAAATTAAAGTGCAAAACACCAAACAGTCAATTAAATGTTTTATTTATAATGTAAACAATTTGAACTTGGAAATTGTAAAAGCAGTTGGCAATGTACCGATAGGTACAATGAGAAACTCCCTACTAAAGCTCTTTTGAAAAGGACTTTTTGAATACCTGATTTCTTTACCAGGCAGTTTCTGCAGACTTCAATTTCATTTGTGGGTGTAAATGATAAAATATTTCTTACAAACAGAATAGTTAATAAATCATTCTGTGTAAATATATTTCGTTCCATAATGCACCTTTTCCAAGGACACTTGAGTGGCTAACATGTTTAATGCAAAGTCCTGCTTGCTGCTGTACTGTTAGATTTCCGGAGAGCTCTAAAGCAACTGAGATGAATGAGGTTTTTTGTATCTGTCCCTCTATTCATGAATTGAACCGTATTATGTGGAGAAAGTTTTGGAAGCATTTAGTCTTGTTTTTCCAGTTTCCTTACAGAGAGATTGCCAAAGTAAATTTTGTTGGTATGCTGTGCAGTTTTTATCTATCAACTTAATTCTCAGCTTTTTGCTAAAAGCAGCTGATAGATTAATGCAGCCTGGAAATTGTGATTGTATGGAGTGTAATTAAATGGTAGATGTTTCAGTGAATTGCATGGATTTTGTCTTTAGAGCTCATAAAGCCACTACTGTGAGAACTGCCTTTTCCCAGTTGTGGCAATTTAGTCCTGCTACTGTTGTTACTCTCTCAGTATAAATGCAGCTGAGGAAAAAAAATGTTCCCATGATAGTTTTTTTTTTTCTCTTAATCCAAATTATTACTGCATCGTATTCAGAAAGAACACTCGGCAAACTTTAATATCATGCAAGGATATGCTTCCCTTGAATATATGTATCCTTCAAGAGCTTGTCTTAAAAGAGCTTGGAAGTAGAATTCAAGACTGTTTTATGAACGTATTTCAATTTTGATTTTTTGTGTGAATACATACAATAAAAATATAAAAGTGTAGACATCATCTGGATACCTCTCTGGCATTCATGTAGCAGTAGAACATTAACTTGTCTTTTACTGTCATAATTTTAGACAATGGAAACTGAGAAATAGCATTTACTGGAATGGTTGCAGCTGTTGAACTACTAAGGGAAGTTCTGTGGAACAGAGGTCCTGAGCCAACAATTTAGTCTGTCAAATGCTGTGTTTCTAGTCTTGTCTTTGAAGTAGTAAGCTCATGATAAACTAATTATTTGGGGATGCTTTGTTATCTTTTTCCTGTAAATGATGGAGGATTCTAAGGTCACTGAAAATTTAGCAAGGTCAAATCGCAGATGAAGTAACAAACCAGAAGTGAAAACTGAAAGTTAACTGCAGTTGAATAACAGAGATGCTGTATTAGTGCACTTTCAGTCTTCTCTTAATTATTAACAAGCTGGTAAGGGATCACAATGCACATTTTATTTAAGTGTGCAAATAAAGGTATGTTGACATTTTTACACTAAAAGATAGTTATTTGGCAAAAAAAAATGCTGGCCTGATAGGAAAAGGGTAATACAGTTTTGGCTACCTCTAATGACTGTAGTTAAATATTTCTAATCAGGTAAATAGTACAGTAATATTATCTTAATTTGAAAATTGAATTTGACAATACACGGGGAACCAAATGGAATGCGTAGCAGAGACTTGAGAAATTGAATCCGTTTAGGCCAATACAATGTTGTCAGACCTCAGCAGATGCACAAAATGATTTGTTTTAGTATTTCTAACAGCATTTGGTAAGACTGTCATCCATTATCTAATTGTATTTTTCTAATGACAGTGTCTGTTCTACTGTCTGAAGGAACAGATAGACAAAAATAGACAAAACAGACAAAAATACCATCTCTTAAGGTATTTTTTTCTTTTTCAGATGTGTGGATTTGTAACAGCTCTTGCTTATGTCATTAAATCTACATCTGATGCATCCAGAATGTAGCCCATATATGAATATTTAAATGGCTGATTCACCAGAGACCAAAGATAAATATGGCTAATATCCTGTCTCCAACACTGGCTATTAATGTGTGCTATAGTAGTAAGAGCAAAGATTAGAGCAAGAAGCTAGCCAGGTTTTCCCAGAATACTTCCTCAGCCTGAAACAATGTCCAACTTCTGAGCCAGATGTATCTTTGTATTTTTCTTATTAAAATCTTTCATTAACTTTTTGTAAGTAGGTAAATAGTTTCGGCAACATCACAGCGTAATCACAAGTTAAGTTAAGCGCTTCCTTTTGTTTTTAACTTGCTGCTCACTATTTTCATTAAAGTTCAATCATTCTCCACCATCTCCAAGCTACTCAAGGTGTTAAAAGACTACGTTTTTATATTAAACCATGTCTTCCAGGCTGATCTGTTTTATTGTTTGTGTCATCTATATACTTGATCATCCTTCCACCCACCACCCTATCCCCCTTTATTGCATTCATGTCAAGTACAAATATAATTTTCTGGGATACAGCAGACTCATGGCTTGCATTTTGGATAGTCTATCTACATTTATCCAGTGGCCACTTGTCTGGGATTTCCAAACCTCCAGCATTTGTCTAAAACTGCTCCTCTTTTCTGCCTAGGAATATTTTTAATGGAGCTACTGTTCCACTTGGTTTGCTGTAGGTCTGGAAATTCTAGACAGGTTCAAAATGTTCAGATCCCACCTGGACATGTTACCAGGAAAATTGGAATGATGCCCCATCCAGTATTGATGTGGTAGTTCTGTTAGTGTGTATGGCCACTGTCTACACTGCATCTGTTCTCTCATGTTACCCCATCTGAAGCTGCTTCTACTGACCAAAGGTTCTTTACCAACACTCCTAAAAATTAGTTAGCACACTGAAACCAATACTTTCCATTTCTCAAAATATTCAGTAGACTTCATCAGCCAAAAATCAACTTGGAACCTGGTGGTGTCCTGGCATGCTGCTGGCAATTTATAATGCTATTGCATTATATAATACTTACAATTTATAATGCTATTGCTTTGTTTCACAGCACATTGTACTAAGAGGAAGACCTGACACACACTTTCAGTGGCTCTCACAACTGTCTGACCTTACCTATACCACAAAGAGTTGTGTAGAAAAGGCCAAGAATCTTGGATTCTGCCTTTGCCTTGTCTGTGGGGAAACTATGGCAGTTTTGGTTAGGGAGCAGATACCTGAAGCATAATAATTCTGAAACATAGTGGGGCCAAATAGCTAATCCTTGAGCTAATTAAAAAATGCTGGCATAGCAAGACAAGTACTGGCAAACTCTCTAAGCATACACAATTTATGCAAACAAAAGGTGAAATACAACAGATTATAGCCATTCTCTGTATGAAATAAACTATACTGAAAAAGCAGGTTTTGCTAGTGGAATAATGGTGTTGGATTAAATGTGTCTACATTGTACATAAGATAAAGATGCTTATGAAAATTAGTAAATACAGTCTTCCTGAACATCAATTTAAAGTAAATATCAAGGAAGTAAGCTACACAACCAAACCCCACTAGATGGGAATCAACAGTAAGTCACTTATATTAAAATCATAGATTCAAGCACTCTAAACTATAGTAGTAAGATTTGAATATTTTGGTGAAGACAAAAATGTGGCACGTAAGGCGTGTTTTAGTGTGTCATTAAATCATTTTTTTCTGACAAAAAGGCACTTTTCTGATTGCAGGGGAAGAATCTGATAAAAATAGAATGAAAGGACCCCAGAAAATATCACAACTGTCATTTAGAACTTGTCCTGACAGGGGGTTATACTGGAAATTGGTGTGATCAATTTGGCATACGGCATTTCTAGCAAAATAAACATGCCTCATGCAGCTCATAAGCAAGTCTTTGCATTTTAAATAATTTCTTGCTTGAATTCAAACATTGTGTTCCAAAACCTTCAGGTTATTTTGGGGCTGTACATTTCATTATAATGCCTCATAATGAATCCTATTTTCATTTTATCAGAACTGCAATGTCAAAAAATAGTGAGTAACTAAGCACAGTGTTCTTAATATTCTTACTTCGTGTTACTTAAATCAACTTGATTTAAACCTTGTAATCTTTTGTTCAGCTTCAGGGTTTTGTTTAAAAGTCTCTCAAAACACAAAAGGATTTCCTCTTAGTTTCCAGTTGCATTGACTCATTCTTCTTGGTAACATAATTATAAATAGTTCTCTTTTGAGCTTTGATGTATTTGTTTGGTCAGATGTTTGTCCATATGTTTCTCACAGTTCTTTTTTTATCTCTTGATTTTTTAACTTTTATTTTGTGACTGTCAAGGTTGACCACTGCTCATGGTTGGGCTGAACTGATTTCTTCTTCATCTTCCTCAGAGTCTGTGTCATCATTGTAGAAATGAATTGTAGCTTGGACCGGAAAACTCGCCAGAACCTTCTCTCCAATATTATTGAGAAACTTTTGGGATTTGGACTTGGGCAAATAAAGTCTAATAAGAAAAGATATTTTAAGATAAAAGAAAAACTATGCAACACTTTCCCAGATAAGCTATCTTGAGTATTAAAACCTATTTTTATCCTTCTTTGGAGGAAGAAAAATCCTAGGGTTCCAGGTGTTTTAAAAGTTGCTAACTAAAAGGTACTGTTGATTTTAAGTTACCTCAGTTGCTTTGGGCATATTGTGTACTGCATTTATCTAAGGTTCTGCCCTGATAGTCTTGCCAGGGCAGTGATGTGTGCTTGAGTTGTTTTGGTTTGGTTTTTAGCGCAGTTCAGAATGGAAGTGTCCCGTGTGACTGGGGGAAGTTTGAGGAACGTTCGGGGATTCTGGAATTAAGATTAAGACACCAGGTTAAGATTGGGGTGGGTTGCCTCATGCATGGAGGTTGATCTTAATGGATTTTATATCTCCAGGTGGAGGAGGAGGTGTACACTGAGAGGAATTTCAAAATACATATTCTTTTGTATTGAAATCATAAAAGTCTTAATTTACATTTCAGGTTTTCACCACTTACCCACTAAAGCAAAACTTGTGCAGTCTGTATACATACATGTTTTTATGTGCATATGTATGTACATCTCTTCCTCTTGGTTCCACTTTGGCCAGTTTTCAATTAAATTTGACAGTGATAGCGGTCACATAGAATTTAAGCTTCTACAACTTTTATAAAAACAAGTGCTTGTAAAGAAGAGGAATATTCCTTTAATTTTCCTCCTCCAAATTAAAGTCCAAATCAGGAGTTTCTACATCATTAAGCCTTAAAGAATCTAAATGTTGGTGAAAACCTTTATAAATATCCCAAGCATAGGAAAAGCTGTGCCTGGAGTTCAACTTCTATTCAAGAGCAAATATAAGCAACTTCAAGACACAGATCTGAAACAAGTCACATCCCACTAGCAGCCATTCATGTTAATTATCTGTGGGCTTGTTATCATATTAATAAATGTAAACATAGAAGAACATTTTTTCCTTTAAGAATACTTTTTCTTATTTTCATTATCAGCATATTGTTTCAGGGCATCTTTCCTTGTGGAGGAATAAAAACATACGGAGTCTGGTGAGGAAACAAACTGTGTTAGTAAAAAGAGATACCCCAGAGACAAACATACTTGTAGTGAGAATAAACATGTCTTGTCTTGGAAGGTGTCACTTTTCTTGTATCAAGTGATAGGATTTAACTCACCTCACTGGATGTTGAAACCCCAGGGCTCCCTTTGACCTCAAATTTATTAGTTGGCCATCCAGTTCTGACTGTAAAGAGACATATTTATTAATTAGAATAGGGTAAAAATGAAGACTTCACTTTTTTCTTCTACAGGTAACTAAAATTCTACAGTAATGTTGCTTCGTCTGCTGTGCTGCATGTTGTTTGACTAAGTGTACTTCAGAGAATATATATGCCCACAGCCTGCCAATAGTTGCACATTTAACAAAGCATTTGAACTTGTACATTTAAAGAGCAATAAAGTCATTAAGCTGTACATTTTACTTAAGTTCTTATCGAATATCTATGGCAATGGGTGAGCTAGTAACACCACCAAATGGAAGTTCAGTAATTGGAAGAAAAAAAGACTTTCAGTCAGTTTAAAGGATTGGGAGGTTAGAGTTTATAAAATACCTCTTTAACCACAGTAACCAGTAGTTTGGAGATGGAATGTTCAAGTACACACGCCTAATTGTAATGGAAGATCACACAAGCATCCAAGAGTCCAAACAGTAAAATGAAAAGATAACTGGCATCTCATATTTCTATGTAAACAGCAATAAAAAAGCAAGCATTTTTGATACAACAGAGTAGGTAGCAAAAATATAGTTCAAATATAAAAATTAAATTTAGCACAGAATAAATTGCTTTAAATTAATGTCACAATAAAACCCCATAGTTTGCAAATGTTAATGTTACTAAATCCCATTAAGATTATAAAACTGGAATGTAAACCTGAAAGCATTTCCCGAAATCACTGAGCCCTATCACTACATTTTGCAGGCATGTATTCTCTTCCATATCTTAAAACAAGAAGACTTCTTGTTTCCTCCTCTTGCTAGAAACTTGATGTTGCATCAATAGGAAGATTTTGCTTTGCTATACTAGAATTCCTAGTGATCAGAAGCTAGATATCATCCTCTCTGCTATATACAGAAAGAGATTACTTTTGCCATTGTCAGAGCAACTCATTTGTCTTTCTGAGGAAGTAAGTTTCAGCATGGGTACTTTGGTGGGCCCCAAAAAGCCCTTGGGCTACAGAATGAGTAAGGGGTCCTAGAAAATTCTCTCTGTACCTTTTGTGTTGGTCTGTTTCTCTCATACCCACTTGTTTGTCCTGTAGCCAAAATTATTTGTTTTCAGGCTATTAGGGTTTTGTTGAGTTTTGTTTTTTTAATCAGGAGACTCATTTACTTTGTTTCCACAGCACCTAGTAAAATGGACTCCTGATCTAGCTGAACATTGTAGGTGTGATCATAATATTTGTGTTAAATACCGAATTTTTCTCCCTTCATATTTACATTAAAATTAAAATAATCTTTTTATCTTTATTGACCTGCATTTTCTACTGTCTTCTCTTTGGAAGACATATTATTTGAAAATAATTACATATGTATTATATATGTAATATACGTATATAATATATATGTGATAATAATACATACTGATTAAACATACAATATATATGTTTTCTTTCTTTTCATACTATAATACAGCATTTCTGAGAAGTAATTCTGATAAAAGCCAATTAATGGCAAAATCAAACTCAGTTTGTACACAGCAGAAAACATTCAGTGTTAATTTGTATTATGTTGTAGATATGGCAATAGTTACTTTAAATTACTTGTCATGGCTTCTCTTTGGGAATAAATAATTACATATTTGAATGTAGGTAGTAGGAAAAGTGTTACTTTTTATATAAAGAAAAGCATATTATGTATAGGTAACTATAGGATATATTGTAACATATGTTCCTGGCAATAGAGTTAAAATTATTAGTTAAAATTTTTTTTTACCAGTATTTTTTTTTAGTGCTTTGCTCTGCATCTTTCAATTCTCAGGTTAGATTCTTATATGTATATTCCTAACCTTTTTTTTTTAATTATACAGAGGATATTGAAACTTTTATTTGCTTCATTCTCCAGTGTTTGGAGTATCTACTTATCTGTAAAGCATTGGCATTTGTATGTATACGTTGCAGAACATAAAAGTAGCCAGCAGGCAACTAGCTAGCAAAAACATTGAGCTCAATCCACCTTTGAAGGCCTTCTGCTAGAAACCTCATAGTAACTTTGCTGAAGATACCTCTTGTCTTCCACAGCTGTGGTATGTAGGTATGCATTAGTGAGCACCTCTTCCAACCTATGCACTACATGCAGTAGCCAAGCATCCTTCCTCAGTTGTTCGTGACGCTGTTATAAAGCATGTGAAAGGGCTCCTAAAGCCCTCCATCAGCCCTCATTAGGTCCCAAGTTACAGAGGCACCTAGCATACTGAAGCAGTGTGGATGGACCATAAGATGGATAAGAAGGATCTGAGAAGCTTCTGGGAGGAAGAAGAGATGTCAAAAAATTGAAAACCATTTCAGTTATACTTGGCTTGAAACAATGCCAAGGTCTTAGCATGAGTATGGCAAACTTCATATATGGTTTGTTTTTCTCACACAAGTGGGCAGAAGCCCTAGTGTGAATTAAAACTTTTGAGCTGGTTGAATAAATTCTTCTACAAAAATGTAACTTCAGTAATAAATCACAACTTCCTGATTTCAGAAACCTTAGTTTCTTGAAATCATTCTTACTCTCATGAGAGTAAGACTCCTCTCGTCCTTAGCAAATTTAAAGGTGCCTCTGGCAAATCTTGGAACACTGCTGGGAAGGACATTCTTCCGCATGCTTTCCCAAGACACCTGCTGGGACGAGTGTGGCACCCCCTCAGATCTGTTCCGTTACAACCTCCAGTTTCAGCAGTCAAAGAGTACAAGGTAAAAAGGTGTTGCACATGTTAGAATCTAGTAGACATTGTGAGTCTTTAAAGATTTTCACTAAGGAGGGTTGTCTTAAACTGCTGAGCCTTTGGTGAAAAGTTGAAGAAGTAACTGTAGTTCAGATGCTGCAAAATCTTATGAAAGTGCTTAAAAATAAGCATGGGAGTAGCACCATTTCAATACATTTTTTAAAGTTTGCAGCATCAGAACCTATGTTGAAAGTGCTTCAAGCTCTATTTTTATTCTTCGAGCCTAACAAATCTTCCTACACAAGTAAGTATAATAATCACAGTGCCTTTCAAAAGCACTTGGCAATAAGAGCTACTTTAAAATACAATTTTCTGTTGATTTCCTAACTGGTTTAGCTATAGCAACATGCCTCCCAAAAAAACTCCAATCAATAAAATTGTGCAACTGAAGTTATGTTTTTTAAAATTTCATTTTAAAGTAATTTTCTCTCAATCTCCCCCTGTATACAAAGTATCATCTACAGACTAGGCCTGGAAATTTCAAAGTGAGGATATTCTCATTTTTATAATTAAACAAATAAAAACTGCTGTTAAAATCAAGGTTGTTTTGAGTAAGCAGTGTTTTCTGCAGCTCTTTAAGAACTGATAATGATTCTATATCTGATACAAAAGTAGATATAATCTTAACCATTATCATGTAGAGAACACTGTAATTTGAGCCATATTTTCTAACAATGAAGAAATACTTGAAAGAACAAATGAGTAGATGACCAAGCCTCATTTCCTGGGTTCAAATGGTTTCAATTTCTGCACCTGTTTTCTATAAGGATTATTTTCTCTAAAATTTAGTCTCACCATTTGTTGATTCTCTGTCATCTCACTGTCTCTTGCTGTGAGCATCCAGGGCCTCCATAAAGCAGGGCTGCTGAAAGATTAAGACAGAATAGCACTTCCACAGTCAATTCTTTGTGGTAATATCTGTACAGTACAGCTTCTTCTGTTAGATTCTGCTGTCATCTTCTGAATTAGCACGATTTTTTTATTTTCAATACATTCTGATTTGGAAGTCTGATTTCTATGGCAATATTAGTCTTTCTTCTGTCTACGATCTGATTACACAAACTAGACAATCACTTGCACATATTTAACTGAGGTGTCATTTCCCTTTAAGATGTCACAATTCAAAGTGACTGCACTGAACTCCAAGTGATGATGTAATTAATACTGAAATATTTTTATTTATGCAGCACTGCTACAAAATAAAAAGGAATCCTCCCTCTTTGTCAGTATGTCTAAATACGGATTCCATGTTGTCACTGAGTGGCTGGTTATTTACTGAGTTAGCAACTCCAGCATTAAGCTGACATGGGCAATCCCATATAATGAGTTTAAGACAGCATATACAGTGGTGGATGCTACATCTGCCTTTTGTTTGGTGGAGGGGGGGGGTGTGACTGCAATTATGTGCGCTCTTTTTAACAGTACTTTCCATCTGATAATGGAAATAATATGTTAAAAATAATATGATATTATTTATAAATAAACTTTAAAAAATAATGAATCAGTTATCACAGTCTTAATTTTCATTTACTTCTATTTATAAGTTCTTAAATACTTGACTGAAAAGGATAAAATATTGGCAAAAGAAATAAAATACCTGTTCCAAGTGAAACGCTTTCAAAAACTTTTTGCCCTTTACTTCTGAAATTGGAAATTGTTTTCCGTTGTCTATTCCATGCTGAAATTGTTACATTCAAATGCTACTTACAGTCGGAGTTTTGAGAGGAAAGCTGCTGAAAAAAAGCCTCCCTGCACATGCCTTACCTCTCTGGGCGCTCCCCGGGCCGAGGCGACGCCGGGCGCCCCGGGAGGGATGGGAGCTGCGCCCCGCTGCAGCCTGGAGCGGGAGCCCTGCAGCTGCACCCTCCATGGCATGAGATGGGTCTGAAGCCTGCGGCAGGCTGGGTGCTTGCCTGGGCCTTTCAGCCCCTCCTTTATCTCAGCTTCCCAAAGAACACTTACCTAAAACAAACATCGCCTCAGGTAAAAGGAGAGAAACCTCCTTAATGAGGTTTCTTTCGACTGCCCCGAAGAGTTCACAGCCAGGGCTCTCCCGTGGGCCGGTTGCCCTGGGGAAGCACTGCTAGGGAAAAGAGGCTGTTTGGTACGTTTAGTCAGCAAATCACATGGAAGATAATCCAAGACCTTTATCTTTCTGTGGCTGCTTTTATTTGCTCTATATGAAATATACAGTGCAAGTACTCTTTTTGCATGTCTTGGGAAAACTCATCAACTTCCTGTCCTAAAAAAGTGTAGCAGACATTTGAAGAGAGTTTTAAATATAAAATGTTTTATATTTTAAATTTCTGAAGTCTTTTCCATGTCCTAACTTTAAAAGAGAAAAAGGTAACACAAATCAGTGAAGGTGAGAGCATTGAAAGACAGGTCTAGTGAGTTCCTCAAGACTGTACAGATGTTCCTTTAATGTGATTGCTATTTGATGGATGGAGAAGAAAGCTTACAACAAGAAAGCTTAGTCCATCAAAGAATGAGTTATGAATGTCATTGCTTTGAGAGATCTTTCATTTCCAAGTATGCAATATATGCTTTAAGCCTACAAAGACTGAATAAACGGACTTCTTTGAAGCTCTCTCCCCTCTGATTTTAGTCACAACGTGCATTACTCATAGCCTGTTACACTGTACAAGAACTATTTATTACCTAGTGGGTGACATCTGATTTTCGTTGTTGTGGATCATTGCTACAGTTCACTCTGTTTCCTTTATTTCCCAACTACTGCAGAGATGCAAGAGTATTATAAATTCCAAAAGCTGAATTCTTTTTCCACTGGTGCTGTTTACACACTGACATCAAAGGGAACAGACTCAGCTCCCACATATAATTGGTTTCTACTGTGAACTTTCTTCCCAAAGAGAAACAATTAAATGATTTCATTTACTGAACTGTGATGTCCATTGATTATCTAGTATGCACTAGGTCCCCTCAAGAAGCCTTAGCTGAAGAAACCATTAAAGCAGTCAGTTTGAGAGGACACCAAAAATTCTCAGTGAGAATCAGGTCCCTCCGAGGTAAGTCTTGTGGCTCTTTTTCCTTTACGGTGCAGCTGGAGGTAGCATGTGCGCAGCCAGCAAGAAGGGGCTGACCTCACAGATAAAGACCACTGGATATATCCACTTGAGAGACATAATTTTCCCATTAAATTGTTGTGTATTAGAAGACATTGTATATATGCCTTTGCACTTGTGTTTTTTATAAATTCTACTGATTTTGCTTAAATTTAAATGACTTCCAACAGGGAGGAGCTTAGGTCAGATTTGAAAGTCAGACTGATTTTCCTACATTGATGCAAGTTGCACAGTTGTGTTAGCTACTTGGAGCTCCTAAGACTGGCAAAAGTAATAGCATAACACAGGTTCTAATATTTATGAATATATCATATATATCATGATATATAATATATATAAATATTCAGTAACAGTTTCCAGGATTCAATTTCTTGAGGTCCAATTCTTACATTAATTTTTCCTGACCTTTAAAACATCCCTTCTTGCTGTGACAAACAGACATGGTTTAAACTCAAAGGCCAATGCCATTAAATGCTGTTCTGGGAAGCCGTGACAATATGCAGTAAAGAACTTGTAAATTTGTAACTAGGCAAATAAAGCTGTATCTCCAAGAAGGAAATACATGGACAGTTTAATAACTTTAAACATTCAAGTATCAAAATTGATGCGATTATTAGAATGAAAAAAAATTCAAACAACAAACCATATATTAAGTAGCAACATGGGTCTTGAAAAAATAAAGGCAAACTTACGAAGTAACATAAATTGTAATTAAATATCTTGCTGAATTAGAGTCTTAAATACACATATGTAATTTCAACAGCTTAGTTTTATTTAGACCTAATTTGAGTTGATATTTGAAAGGCAAGTGTGCATTGCACAACTGATGTCTATGGTCTTGGTCTTGCAATCAGATACAAATGTGAGGATAACTGATTCGTAGCTCTGCATAGAATCAGCCAACATGGATATTAGTGCAGGGCTTAATACTACATCATTGTTCTAATTAATCAAAGCACACAACTTCAGCTGGTATTTTCATGGAAATCATTAGCTAAAATCAGGTTGCAGATCTGTAGAAAATGGTTTATTCCTGTAAAATACAAGCAGCTGTAATACTGTATGATCTCTAGTTTCTTAAAAAAAAACGGGAAAAAAAAGGGCAGCAGTTAGGCCAAAGCTGTCTAATTTAAAGAACTATATTACTTTTTGCAATATACTTAATTTTAATACAAGGTGCTGTATTTGGTGAAGAACACTTCATAGAATCAGAAAACAGTGACTCTGTTACAGTTGCTCACCCATTTTTCCCAGAAGCTGGGAATATTTTTCAGACTTCTGATACTATCTGAGAACAACTTAGACTTGAGTCTTACAGAGAGAGATGAGCTTCAAGATAATTATTTTGTGTTAATTGGAAGAGATATTTTGTCTTTGTGGGAAGCGTGTTTTACTCAGTTTTCTCATGAAAGCACTTAGGCATTTGCAAGAATAAAGAGTGTTCAGTATAAATTGGTATAGTTAAGGAAACAGGATAGCTCTATAGCCTTTATAGTTTTGACTAATATCTGGGACTAAACAACATGACTTAGGCTTTTGTAGCCACTGATAGCATGCAAAAGCTCCTCAAAGATAAATTGTGGGAAAAGCTTTTAGGGAACAGAAGGAGGAGGAAACCAAGCCATTCACAAAGCACAGCAAGGCCAGTCTCATCATATCCCTTTAAAGGCAAAAAGAGATGCTCATGTGTGCTGAGGTTACATGGTGGAGCTGGCTCCCTGTTCTGAGTGGCTTCCTCTGGGAGCCTTCCCACGTGGACCGTTTGAAGAGCTAAGGGAGATTAACCCCCTAGACTGAAGTTGGCCTTTCTCTCCCATTATAGAGGGGCAAGTGGGGAAGGATTCTCTGAGCCTGTGGGCAGAAATTCAAAGTTTAGCCTATTCACTTTCTTTAGGGTTTTTCAAATTCTCTTTCAACAGTTTCATGTCTCCGCGCGTGTGTGTGTTCAGCATCTTGCAACATTTTTCCATAATCTTTTTCTCTACGACAAAATCCCAAGTGTCCTGGGAAGTCTGAGGGCTAATATTACTCACTGTTTCTTTCCAAGGCTTCCTTCCACCCTCCTATAAGGACGAACTGATTGACAAAGTTATTTTAGAATACCTATTTTAGTAAATTTCCTGGTGCATACAAGGCCTTGACTTCACAATGATAAAATAAGAATGTTTCTCAATCTAAAATTTTTAACCTTTTAATTAGAGCTTGTCACGATTAAGTCTAAGCTACACTATGATAGAAACTAGAAAACCTACAGCGACTTTATGGCTTCAAACTATTCCAATTGAGAATGTGCCGGCATATGTAGAAACTTGTCTTACAATTTTAAATTTAAAAAAATAAAATTAAAAGTTTTTGCCTGTATACTGTATTGCTTCAGAATCCCTTGCACCAAGAAGCTTTGATTTGGTTTTCTCATTTATTCATAAACTTTTCTAGGGTAAGGGAACCTTAAAAAAAAAGGATCAAAATACAGTTGACTGCATTTGATGCCACTACAGGATTAAGCAAAGCATGTTCCTCATTGTGCAAAGGTTATATAAACAGCTGTGTACTGCAGTGTGCTCTGAAGGTCAGCAATGCATGTGCTGTTGAACTATCACAGAGAAAGTGAATTCCGAAGTTGAGAGCTTTCTTTTGAGGTTGCATGCTTTGCTTGTTTTCTTTCTTTTGATGTGCCTGGGTAAGCATTTTGACTTCCTGCAGAAGATAAAGTCACACAGTGGAACAGCATATAATGCCAAGTTAGGACCACTGGAGACTTTGTTCCTCTCTCTGCAGCAGTGTGCAGGATAAAGCAGCAGCACAAGGCTGGCATTTCTTAAGTTTGAGATGAAGAAGAATTACTTAAATTCTTTGACCCTCCAACTGAAACTGTCAGTTGTTTTCTGACAACCTGTTTCTGCCATGAATTGTGGAAATCAAAATTATGTCAGTGATTCTTACCATTTTAGATAAGCTTTTGCTGTGGGTGCAGATTTAAGAAGTAAAAATGTCTGTCATAGTACCGATGGTGTTTTTTTCATATTGAATCCTGCTCCAAATTATGCAGGGCCAATTTCTTCCTTGTTTATCTACAATGGCAGTGTGTTGCTGCTGGAGATCTATTTAGAAAATTGTTCTTTTAGAACACTTATTTTAGTAATTTTCCAAGCACATACAAGGCCTTGAGTCCAGAATAATAAAAAAGAATGTTCCTTCATGCCAGGAAATGACTGTCACATATCACTCAGCTACAACTGTTAATGTTGGCATCAGCTTCTTTCTTCTAGCCTTCCTGCATTCTTCCTCTTGCCTTTTTTTTTTCCCTTCTCTTTTCTACTCACCCACTCAATATCTGCTAGGATCAGACTGATACATGTGTTCTTTTCAGAGAGCTCAACATTGTGACTTCCTTCTGTATAAAATATAAAAGTTATTAAATTACTTTGGTGCGTAGACATACCAGAGGAGTAAAGGATACCTTGTCACCACTGTTGCATCTTCTGTAGTGGCAAGTTGTGTTTGCAGCACACATGGCACACGCAAATCCTACAGTTTTATTCCTGACAGGCTGTTCTTCACTCTGGCTTCAACAACTAGCCCTTCTGAGCCCTGACTTTCTTTGTTGTTCGTCAAATCCAACAAATCAGCTGAAATCAAATACATCTGTTTATGCCTGCTTTGCACTCTGGTGGCTACCCTGGAACAGGTATGGAACCTGGAGACTGGTGTCCTTGTCTGGTTTTGTGACGGAGGGAGTACTGCTCCTTTAGGATACCACGGATCCTGAAATAAGGTCAGATGGCAGTGTGGAGCCATTTCGGAGGAAGATGAGATCCTTCCCTGTTGCTGCATTGAAATAAGTAACGCATAGTTCGGCTCTGTTTTGCCTACCAGGTATATACTTTTC